CTCGAGGGCAGCTCAGCTGTGAAGAGTTACGTGTTAAAACAGCTCACCTTTGTAGGAAACGGGCTGCTTAAAAGGGGCTGCTTAAGAGGCCTAGGCAGGTCGCAGCACGTGATACAGCAGAACCCTGCTGCTCAACGGCATCAGTACGGGACATCATCGGAGCTCGAACAAAACATTGGCTTCTGACGCGATGCACATGACTTTTGTCAACAGAAGCAGCGTGTGTTTTGGTCACTGGGGTTAGTTGGCATTGAGTATACGTTGTTTTCAGCTTTTGCAGCTGTTACAAGCGTTCTGCCATAATTTTCCTAGGTTTTGTGGCTTTTTGTACTGTTTTTAGATAAAAGACATGGGTCCTAAGAAAGGGTTTTTTGAAAAGAATCATCATGATAAGAATCTGGTTGACTGTGTTATCGATATTGCTGATGATAATTTAGTAAATCCTTCTAGAAAACAGTTAAGGAAATGCCAACAGCAGATCATATTAAACAGTTTTTTTTTTTTTTTAGAGAAAGCCAGCCAGGTCCTAGTGAAAAAAGGCAAAGAAGGAAAAAATACTCCTGAAAAGCAGCTCCCAGGTGATTTTCTGGAAGGAGATTCCCCTTCTAAACAATGGCTCTCTCTCCAGACCTCCTCTCCACATCCGGGTCCACAAATCCAGATCCTCATCAGTCTCAAGGTATGGGCCATACTGTAGTTGTTAAAAACTTTTTAATGTTGAGTTTATTTAAATTATATTATTTAACTCTGAAATTTGTAATGTTTTGTGTAAAAAGGCAAGGTGAGGGTAAAAACTTGGTGGTCAAGAACAGATTAGTCCATTTTCAGTTATTTCTTATGAGAAACATTGATTCGGAACTCAACTGCACGGCATCTCAATGCTCCTAGAACGGATTAGCATCAAGGTCCTGGGGTTCTCCTGCAGTGAGGGAGGGCCGTTCATGCTGGGCAGCTTAAATATGTTACATGACATTGCTTCAGGCCACGGATGCCCAGCTCCTTCTTTCCAAACCTACAACATCATTTGCTTCATTTTTCACCCTCCTGCTAGGAGAGGTGGGCTACTCAACGGGCAAAGGAGTTGCATCTGGAAGTCCCCAAGCACTTACTAGTTTACACAGGACTAGTGGGTGGGGATGGAACCATTCTGATGACTAGCTCCAAGACCTTTTGTTCCTGACGGACCTTGGCTTCATGAAGGAAAGCTATGCCTACCTTTATGTCCTCATCACCTCTAGGCAGAAAACCTGACCTGGGCAGATTTAAAGAGTAAATCGGTTGTGTGCACACCTGAGGTTGTTCAACCTTCAGGCTTCTCAGGCCCCCAGCGAACCATGTATCCATTCTCAGGCCAGCACATGGCCCAGGCAGCCCTGGCTGGGGCTCCCTTTGGCCATTTGCTCTACCTGTGGCAACTGCTCAGGTTGTTTGAAATGACCTCTCCGGCACTGCCTGTCTTCCGCCCTGCAGGAAAGGCTTTTCCTCTCCGGGAAAAAACACCACTGTACTTCATGCCATCCATGGTGAGAGGGTGGGGTTGACCTCGCCGGAGCACCTTGGGTGTTGGATTCCATTTGGAATGATTATAAACAAGAGACTTGGCACAGAATTTTTTTTATAAAAAGATTTATTGAGATGATGTAATTATAGGCTTTTCTTTAAAAATTATTTGCAACTCACTGGCCCTGAGAAAAGGCATTTTTTTTTCTTTTTTGTTACATTCATATGATTCAGTCCCTTATAAACCCCACACCTCATAAACAAGAGATTAGAAGCTAAACCAAGAGAAAAAGGAAAAGGAAAAACAAAAACATCTGGATTCGTTCTGTTTTGCACGTGGTTGCGGTCACAAAGAAGAATCTCCGCAAATGTTCACTTGGCCTGTGTGTGTGCGCGCGCGTCAGGGAGTCTGCAGGTGATTAGTGTTGATGCAGATGAGGCCCAAAGAGTAACAGGTTAGTCTTCTGTGGTCTGTAGACGGGGTGTTGTGCGTCCTCTCTCCACCCCACCACCCCAACCAGCTTCCTGGTATCACGCCCTTTATTCCGGGTTTCTGCTCAGGAGAGGAACAGGCTGAGTGGGTGAAAGGCTCTGGCTAGCACCGGATGTGCGGGCAGAGAAAGCTGCCCTTTGTTGTCTTCATGCTTTTTCTAAACGTCTCATCTCCAGTTGCCTGGTGGGGGCAGGTCAAATGAGGATACAGCCAGGGTTGGATCCCAATCCTAACTCCATCTGCAGCAGTGCTGTCTGCCCCTAGGGCGAGTAGGGTACCTCTTTTAACATGCATTCCAAGTGGGATCCTAGGCAGTGGAAAGGTGGGCATGGCGGGGACTGGTTGTTTAGGTCAATGCTGTCAGAGCTACCACTTCTTTCTCAGTTGGACAAAAGGTTGGTGTAAAAAGCCAAAGGGTGAGCAGGTTCTAAACATACCAGAAAAAGGGGAGAATGCAGCAGGTGCTAGTCCTCCTTTAACGCAGGGATCCCAGCACCACCAAAGGCTTTGTGATACTGGTGATGGTGCCTGGGCCCACAAGATCTGAGAGCTACCACCGTCCTCACTGTCAGTCCCGCCAACCATCACTATTTTCTTCTGATGGGGAGGTGCCCACCCAGCTAATTCAAGGTGAAGGGAAGAGAAGGTGGGAGGGAATTTCAAGATGACATTGGGTGACACATCTGAAGGAAGAGATTCTCTCCCTGCAGGGCTCTCCTCTGCCTTTCCCTGCTCCTGACTGCGGACCGGAGTTCTCTGAACGGCAAGAGGGAGGTCAACCATTCAGAGAGCAGGCGAGCTTTGAGTTTGGTCCCCCCCCAACATTTCTAGTACTGAGCGTTGAAGTGTGACATTTCATGCCTGGTGGGTTCTGCAGATCCAAGGCAAGCTCCCCGAGGTCACAGGCGGTGCTGGGTTCAGTTTTGAACCCCTCACAGTGCCCAGCTGGTGCTTCACAAAGGGTTGCTAGGTTGATCCTGCAGATCTCTGGAATCTGCAAACACCATAGCCTCGATTTTAAGCACTGCCTGGGTTTTCTCCCAAAGAAAGGGTGAGGAGGATGTTTGGCGTGGCGAGATCAGCAGAAGATCAGTATCTGAATGGGAAATAAGGCTAGCTTGGAATGGGCGCCTTCTGCTTCTTCAAGTGGTTGTGGGCGTTATCCTAAGTCTAACATATGCTCACAGGCTATTGCTTTAAATACAGAAGTCTTTGGGGCAAATGGGGATTTCCTCCCGCCAGTTCAAACAGTAAGATTTTTCTGAGCAGGAAGGGGCAGAGTACAGCCTGGGTTTTGGGGATGGAGTGAGATGCCTTAATCCTAAAGTAGCAGCAGCCCTCATCTCTGAGTTCAGACAACACACACACACACCACACCTTCAGTAAAAATCCATTCTTCTCTCTAGCCCTTAAGCTCTGCCCCTAAGTCAAGACTCCATGTATTTCACAGCACACCAGGTATCAGGCTTAGTCACTCCTCTTGAGATACATCATCCGTCATCTCAGGGGCCAAACAACGTTCCACCATGCTGCGCATCCTTAGAAACACTGGTGGCACGTGGGGACCCAACTGAATTTCATCCCCATCCTAGCACACTGAGACCAAGCTCTTCACTCATAACGGGGCCCTCTAGCCTCACCACAAGGTTCCTGACCTCAAGGGAAGTCAACACTCCCTGAAGGTTTGTGAGGAGACATTACCCATGGCCTTAAACTAGGCAGGAGCAGAGCAAGACTGAAGACCCTTTTTGATGGCGAGGCCGGCAATGCCAATGACAGCCTACTTACTACTCAGACTGGCGTCCCTGTCCAGAGGCCAGGGGAGAACCCTCCCGGCCCGTGCTTCCTCAGCCCCGCACCTGCCTGATTCAGTGTGAGAGGAGACACGCAGGGCCCGGGGAGATCTGCTGACGGCACAATCGGACCTTGGGGCAGTCTGTCTGATTCTCACTCAGCTGAGGCAAGCGAGGAGGGCCGGCTTTGTTAAGCAGGGCTAATCTTTTGGATGAGAGGATAAAAAAAATAAAAAGGCTGTGCTCTTAATAGTTGGATGTCTGAACCTAAATTGCAGAGTAGATTTAAAAGGCTAGTAAGCAAAACCACCCCAAAAGATATTAAAACAGTTCTCTGAAAAGATGTTTTACCAACTTAAGGCTGGCACTTCCTTCATGATGTTACTGACTTTACATAAAAATGAAAAGAGCCTTGAATTGGGTCCTTTCTCAAACTCAGGAAGGAAGGAACAAAGTGTCTGAGGAACTTCCTGTCTGCCCAGGCTGGGCAAAGCCCTAGTAGCAACTGAGGCTGCGCTCTGGAACCCCCCCCAGATGCCCCCCTCCCACGGGGCCCTGGGGACTTAGAAAAAAAGGCTAGGCAGTGGCAGGGTTAACAAGGACCACAAGATGGTCTTTGGGATGGGAAGAGAAGGCCTTTCTTTCCTCTTAGCCTCAGTAACCTGCTTCCAAAAAAACCAATCCCCGCCGCAAAATGGTTGCAGCCCGTTTCCAGACTGCCAGGCTCTGTGGTCTTTTCCTGTTTGCTGTTTGATGGCACTCGCAAGCTAATTCCGAGCTGCTGGGCCCTTCCCAAGTAACCTGGATGGCTTTCCATGATCATACCCGCCATGGGCCCAGCGAACGGCCTGGTCCTCACAGCAATGCTCGGGGTGGCTCGCTGGACTAGCATTTATCTTTCTGGAGTTCAGCAGCCTCTGCGATGGTTTTGGCTGCCCTGCGAGCACGGGCCCTGTGCTGCGATGTGGGTTTGACTGTGGGGCCAGTCACAAAGTGTTCAGGCTGCTGATTCCCTAGATCCTCCAGGAGGCTGACCTCTGTGGAGAGCCATTTGAAGCAACGTGGTCACCAGGCAGGGTGGTGTGAGGGAATGCGTGAGTGAGTGAGTGAATGAATGAGGGAGGAAGGGAGAGAGAGAATAGGAGCTCCTCTGTTCACTTTATCTTTTCTAAGAGCATCGTTTCTTTCCCCCACCCACCTATTTTATGGTTTTCTTCAGTCAAGACCCACCAGCAACAGGAGCGAACCTGACCCAAAAGGCAGGAATGAGAGGACCCTGAGCCCTTCCACAAGGATTTCCTTTCCTGCCATACTTTGAGATTTGTAAAAAAAAAAAAAAGATATATGTAATAGACATATATATTTCCATAGGGAAACAACATCAGGTGTCTTCCCTGCATGAATGATGAAAAGTCAAAACCGTGTGATCTTAAAAACAAACGAGAAAATGAAAACGCCCCATGAAACAACCGGTGGGAGGGTGAGGGTGAGCAGTAGAGATGGTGAGCTTCCAGACGAGAAGGGAACGTGAAGCGTCAGTCCCAGGTCCACGCCCTCGGCCAGAATTCCAGCCCCGCCTTTGCCGGGTGGTTTGTCTAAGGTGCTCTGGGGCTCCTCTGGGTAATGCGAGAGAAGTGTCACTCCTGTTTGGGGGTCTCTTCCTGTTTGACGCTCCTCAGGCCCCTGCCCCGTCCCTCCGCTAGCAGTCCTGGTGGGCAGGGGCTCTGCGGCCACTGTGGTGCTGGGTGGCTCCATCAGCACTCATCTTCTTGGTAGATTTGTTCATCCAGCTCCTGCGACTCCAGGTGCTCCAGGCGGTCTGTCCGGCCACTCATGATTTCATCCGGGGTTTTCATGAACCTTTGGGAGAGGAAGTAGAAGAGTCAAAAGGTTGCAGCATGTTCCAAAAGGTGTCCACACTCCAAACGTGACCCATGGAGCCAGCTCCCATCACCTCCTAGAGCCTGACAGGCTGCAAATGGAACCGAGAGAACTTGCAGCAGGTCTAGGGGACTAAGGTGTCCCGTGGGGCGCTAGCTGCATGACCGTCGGAGGGAAACCTGGTGTGGCGCCCTCAGCTGGCTTTCTCACATCAAGAGTGGCCGTGTGTAGACAGAGGACCACAAGCAAAGATCCGTTCCGGTGGCAGATTGTGAGCCTCGGGTGTGGTATTCAAATCCTGAGTGTAGCGCAGGGGATACAATTAAACTCTGAATGGAAAATTTGATCACAGGGCAAGTTAATGGTACTTTTGGAAAATTAGAGACGCAAAAAGACAGAGACCCTCTTTCAGCAGCATCACAAATTCACCCATAAAATGCTAGCAACGGATTACTTTTAGCCTGTCTTCCTTTGCAGCGGCATGCAGAAAGCAAGCCTCGTCCTCTGGTCCAATGGGTTCACTTGGAAAGAAGGCGGAGGGCACAGTGCGATCACCGTGTTCAGGAATAGGGCAGGCAGCCTGGTGGCAGATGCTGGGCTCTGCCTGTGAGCATGCCCTTCCCACAGCTCCACCCTTGGCTCCGCGCCTGCCCCCATTCCCTGCCCTCTGCCCCACCCCGTGGGAGCATTCTTAAACCACACACATTTAGTTTATCACTCTCTGTTCAGAAGCCTATGGGGACCACTTCTCAAGCCAAGGACCCGTTTTGACTTGGCCAAACAGGGCTTTCTAGCCTCTCTACCATGAAAACCCTTACATGTACCACTCCACTGGCGTGAATCCCTAGACTCCACTGTGGCTAGTCCTTCTAGATAAATCCTGGCTGGCGGCTTTCTCTAAATCTTTAGCTTTGCCCCTATCTTGAGCCCTCTTTATTCCCTTTTCTTATCTAAGTCCAATTCATTCTTTGAGCGGAGCTGCATCTGTCCATGCCAAAACCTTCCTTCCCTCCATGCTGTTGAAGCTTATGAAGAGTTCCCACAATCCAACACACCACTGGATTACACCCTGCATCTTCAACAAGAAGGTAGCCTCCCTTGGCGTGGCAAGCCTGGCTTCCAATAGACTTTTCCTTGGAAGTGACTACTATGCTTTTCTCTAATCGTGTTGCATGGTTTTATTTGGAAACTGCTGTGTTCCTTCTCTGTTCCTCATTAGTGAGCTTCTTAAAGCAGAGTGATGTGTGACATCCACGATATGTCACCCTCTGGCTAAAACTCCTCCCTCAGCATCTGAAGTCACTAAAGAACAATGCCTTTAGGGACAAGTCCACAGATAGGATGTGTTTGGTCTGAAAAACTACCCCATTATTATTTTAACAACTTTTCCTTAGTGAGCTTCTGATAATCCTCACCAGGCTTGTAAAAAAAAAATTATTGAAAGTCTCCATAAAATAGAACATAAAATATCATTCTCTACTTTCTAGAAGCTTATAATCTAACTGGGGGAGAAGGACTTCATACATATATACCATTAAAAAAATGCAAACCACAACGTGTGAAGAGCCAAGGAAACCCAAGAGATGATGGAAGAAGATACTGCTCCGTTCGAGCAATCGAAGAAGAGCTCATCAAGGGCAGGAGGTGAGCTGGCCCCTTGAAGATACATATATCATTCCAAAAAACTCAACCAAATGTACTGCCACAGCGACCCGTAGAACAAGGTACAACTGCCCCTGTGGGTTTCCGAAACTGTATCTCTTCATGGGGGCGGAAAGCCTCGTCTTTCTCCCAAGGAGGTTCTGGTGGTTTTAAATGGCCGACTGTGCAGTTAGCAGCCCCATGCAGAGCTCACAAGGACGTCAGGGGCCCTGGCATATAGTATTAGAAAGGCGAGCATTGAAAGGGACACAGTCCTGGCACCGGGGATCATTCACTGTTCTGGAACACAAGGCAGTATGCCTTATGGATTTAAGAGGGGGAGGAGGGGGAGGGGCACAGGTGGGAAGAGATTGTTGAATTATTCATGAGTGGATTACGGATGTCCAGCCATCAGTCTCCACAGTCAGAAAAGCATAATGCTTTTGCTTGTCTTCCATCTTCCAATTCTCACGTAAGGGAATCTCAGGGTAGAGTCCAACCTGGAACCTCCTAGCAAGGAGTTCTGGGGAACATATTCCCTGGGTTTTCTAGCCTGCAACACAGACAAGGGTAGTAGAGCTGGAAGAGCCAAAGGTAAGGATGGGTTCAAGATCAGGTACTACTGACGAACAACAGGAGTCTGGGAATGGGAGTTCTAGTTCATGAGGAAGGTCCAGTTTGAACCTGTGTTGGAGCATGATACTCAAGTGGGTGTGTCCTATAAGTCTCTTGGAGATTCCGCTTGGGAATTTCATGGGGGTGTCAGAGCTGCCAGCATCTGTGTGATGGGATCAATTCATTGGGGGGGGTGGGGGGGTGGGAACATCTGGAGTGGGAGGAACAGGGAGCCAAGGGCTGAGTAGACTTAAAGACGTGAGCATGTCGAGAGGCAGAGAAAGAGGGCTCTCTTTATTATGTACCATCCTGTTTCCCGTTCTCCAACAGCATTTTCTCTTGCTTTGGGAGGTCTATGAGGAAGGCTGGGGTTTCGCATTTACTTGGTTGCTACCTGACAAGTCAGCCGTACAAACCCACCAGCCACCCCACACAAGGTCTTAATTACTTTTACCAACCGTAAATTATCATTCTTTCCTAGTGTCCCAGTCTAGGTTCTCTGTTCTTTCCATAAATGAGCATCCTCCTGGGAAGCTCACCTGCTCATACCTGCTGTCAATTTCTACCTACGCAGAGGTCATTCCAAAGCCCTCTCTGCAGCCCCCTCTGTCACGTTTGCAATGCTCAAACTCTGAGGCCATGTGCTTGGGGCTCCCGCCTCCTCCCAGGCTGCACTTGGACCCATTAGTGCCAAGGTGTACTTCTCCAACTCCATTGGTGGGTCTTTTCTGACCCTCTAATTCATTCTCTTCTAGTGCTTGAAATCCTAATTGATATGGTGAGTGGCGCGGATGCAACTCATTAACAGAGGAATTCTAGAAACAGGAACGCTCTGCACACGGTTTCGGGAATTTTCTGACTGTCATGTGTGGTTAAAAAAAACAAAGCAACAGATATAAATGCCTGAAACAAAATTTTCACAAAATATACAGTTGGTCTTACTTTATGTAACACACTCTGATAGTCTCTATACCAGTGTATTCCACACAACAGAAGATATTCGGAACCCATTACACCTGACTCAGGACTCACTTGTGTGTCATGCATGCCCTTGAGTTTGGAAAACACTGGCTTAGGAACAGCTCCAGCAGGGTTAGAACCCTGGAGGTCTCGGTTGAATTCTTTGCTTTACCATTGTCAATGAGACTCTGGTTGCTCCCTCTAACCATATGGGACTTTCATGCCAGCTAATGCCACTTGATCACTGGCATTATTTTAAAGGTGAGTCAGATGATGTTGATTTAGCTTCAGTTTATTCTCAAAACCTTTGGGGGTGGGGTGGGGGAGGAGGTTCTTTCCTCTAAATTCTAACAAACCAACACCTGCTATCCAATTTGCGGCGACAATGGTATCAGATAGGGTATCAGACAGGCAGGCAGAGATCCCCTATCCTCCTGTTTGAAGAAAATAGTATCCTCCTGAAAGAAGGAAAGGAGAAAGAGGAAGTGCTACCTGAACAAGAGCCTTTGTCCTGGCTCCTTCCTGATGATGTTCAGTTTGTAGTAGTGGCGCAGGGCTCTGGACATTTTCTCATAGGTCATGTTTGTTCTGTTCTGTTTGTCCAAAGGAGGAAGAGGGCGGGGAAAAGAAAAGCACAAAGACACAATGAATTGAACCTCTGAAAAGCACTGGGGGAGCTTTAAAGTAAAAGCTCTTCAGCTTTCAGTTGCTCTGGGCAGCGCCGCCAGCTTGGGAAACTACCTGCGCATAATCTTTTGCCTCCCAGGCCACCCGGCGCCCATCCCTTGGCTTCGTGCTCAGGTGACTTGCCCTTTGTCCTTAGTCTCCACAAAAACCCATCTCTCAACAACCTCCCGATTTCCTAGGCCCAGGGCCCCTCTCTGCTCTAAGGAATCCCAGACAGTTCCCTGTCTTTTAGTCACCCTCTGGGTCAGCCCATACCCCCGGTTAACCTTCTGACCCACAAAGAATTTTATTTTATTTTTGGTTCCAATGACCTTTTCCAAACTGGTGTTTCTGGTTTGTCATTTTCAGGACGAAAAAAAAAGTTTGTAATTGTTTAAACTCCTGCTGTGGCTGCAAGAACATGGTGGTTCTGAGCCCTGGGGCGCTGGTCCCATGTCGGAGTTGAGAAGGATTTTGCTCAACGGCTCACACACGCAAGTGTCTGTCAGTGGGGTTTGGCCATGGTCTGAATTTAGCTCTCTTTGGCATGCTAGAGCACCCTGGCTGTGCTGCATTCCCTGAATGCTCAGGATGGGCAGAGTGTTGCCAGATACCCACTGCCCGCTCCTTGTGCCCTGGAAGGCCCTGCCCAGGTCTAACTGTCTGTGGGCTGGCTTGGACAGCATTGACCTGCTTTTTTATCTGCAGGCTGATGCATGCCTTACTACGAAAGAGGTGATCTTTGGAATCTCACTTCCTCTTCCCAGTGGAGGGTGATCGATGTGTTGCAGTCTGTTTTGAAAGGATGTGTGTTAAGGTCAGAACACATGTAATTTGCCATGTTGAAATGGACTTGCACGAATATGAGCGTTTCCAGCTGAGCAGAAGGGACACTTCCCAAAGCTGCTCTGCTGCCAGTCCCTCCCTCATGACGGTGGTGGTGGCAGGGCCGGGTCAGAGGGAGCCATGACCCCGGCTCCTCATGACGCAGCCTGAGCTCACCAGGATATGCAGTGTTACAAATAGAAAGCGGCATCTTTAATTATTTCCTTCCCTTTGTAACTGTCTAATTGCTTGCCCAGTGAGGAATAAACTGAATAATTAAGGGCATATTTAGGAAGCAGAAGACAGATAATTATCATCCGATCCGGTGATAAAGGCTTTACTTTGGCACTAGTTTACAGAGCAAATATCTGGGGCTCTTTACCTTATGGTTACCCCACAGTCGAGCCAGTCCGTTGGGATCCACTATTCGGAATATTTTGGATTCTTTGTCCTCCCATCGGATGAAGTTTTCGTACCGGCTGTCAGAAAGCAATTGATAGACATAATCCCAAAGGAGCCGACAGTCTGTGGAGGGAAAGGGCAGAAAAACACTGCTGAAAAGGCTTCTTGTTGCAGCATTGACAAGAACCAGAAAACACCGTGGTAACTAACCGCTTTTACCCACTTTGGACAGATCATCTAACCTCCTCATTGTACAGCGAGCCAACTAAAGTCCAGGGAGACTGAGTCAGTGTGCCCAGTGAGAAGTGGAAGCTGGAGCCCTTGAGGCCCCAGAGGTCACCGAGGTAATCGGCCACTTTTGAGAGAGGAGGACACAATGAGCGGGTCCCTGTGCAGTGAACCTCCTGGATCCAGATGACAGCTCTACCATCAGAGAGCAGCAACATAACCCGGAGTGAGAGCATGGAACAGAGTGGTGGACTTCCCAACCCAGGGAGCAAGTGAAGCTGAGTGCTTTTGTGCCTCTGGACACTGACTTGGGGAAGTTGGGCTTGCTGACTCACAGAAGTGGAGCTAAGTGCCTCTGGGCTGGGGCTTAATGGAGTGGGGTACTTCGCAGGGAGTTCGGTTTGCTGACTCCCAGAGCCTGAGCTGAATGCCGTTGGGCTGAGACTTAGAACAGTTGTATGCCCTCTGGGCATTTATTAGCAGACTTGACAGAACTTCGTAACTCAACTCTGAGCATTTCTCACTGACATTATAATTTGTTACCTTCCTGAATAAAGCTTTTGAAAATGAGCTTTGTCTGTGAGTTCTATGTAGTCATTACAATGGAGATTAGAACCCAGAGAGGTAAAACCAAGAATACTAAGATAACACAACACCCATACTATCCAGGTTTAGGTGAGGTTGGACTAGTCTCCCACTGAGAATTAAAAACCAAAAATCACTGTCACTGAGTGGATTCCAACTCATAGTGACCCTATAGGGCAGAGTAGAACTGTCCCCTTAGTTTTTTTTAAAGCAATGTTATTAGCACTTTATCCACATGTTATAAAATTTAAGAATTCAATCATATCAAGGAAAGTTATACAATTATCACCACATTCAATTCCAGCACATTTTCTTCTCCCTTGTACTCAATGCTATTCATGTATTTTTTTTCTAATTGCAGCAAAAATATACATAACATAACATTCTCCAATTCCACAACTTCCACATGTACAATTCAGTACTATCGAACTGAACATGAACTCTTCGTGTTGTGTAACCATTATTGATCTCCTTTTCCAAATTATTCCACCCCCCTTAACATAAACTCAGTGTCCCCTAAGCAACAACTCTTCTTCCTTCACCCACGGTAACCATGGGTCAAGTTTGTTTTTTTTCCCTTTAACTACTTTTCTTCCAAGGATGTAAATCTTTATGGGAGCAGAAAGCCTCAATTTTCTCCTGTGGAGCAGATGATGGATTTGAACTGCGGACCTTGTGATTAGCAGCCTGGCAAGTAACCCATTACCCCACTACCCCACTAGGGCTCTCCAGGTGAGAGTCAAAGGTATCATATTCCAGGTACTGTATGATTCCAGGAGCTTAGGCCATCTTTATATGATCAAGTCCTGGCTGCCAAGGACAGGTATGTTTAGAGGTATTACTTCTAATCCCCAGAGACGTAAAAATAACTTCCTGGGGTCACTGGAATTTGAACTCTGGGGTTCTCAAATGACAATGCGTGTCTTTTTTATGTTGGGTGCGGCCCGGATCACCTGGGAGGGGAGTGTCAACGGGACCGGGGACACCTTAGAGCTAAGACATTGATGTCCTGGAGAAGGTGCCCTCTCTTCTTTGGAAGCTATTGACAGGGCGATCCAGGCAGGTCACTTAGGACAAGTTCAGGGTCTTCCTGAGGTTCCATTTCCGCATTTATGAACGAGAGTAGACCACTGACTGTACAGGACCACCAGAGGAGCGGCAGTCCATGCAGGTGTGCAGCGAAAGAAATAAAGAACAACAATGATGTTTACAAACTAACTGCCAGCGAAAAGACGCCAACGTGTGCGCACCCCCACTTTTCAAAGTAGAGCAGTGGCAGCCAGCGCCCCACAGGGTTCTCAATGGCTGCTCTTTCTGAAGGAGTCCCCAGGTCTTCCTTCTAAGGTGCCACCGGGTGAACTTGAACCTCTGCCCTTTGGGTCGGAGCAGAGCATGTGACTGTTTGTATCACCTAGGGCTTATTTGTTGGCATGTGGTGGCACAGTGGTGAAAGTGCTTGGTTGCTAACTGAAGGTCGGGAGGGCAAACCCCGCCGCTGCTCTGTGGGAGAATGAGGTGCCGCTCTGCTTCCCCGCCTTTGCGGAGCAGCAGCTTCTGAGTCAGGATTTCTGAGTCAGAATTGCTGGGTGGACAGTGAGTTTGGTTGCTTGGTTTCTGCCTGCCACACGACAGCAGTGGCATTTGACCCTTCAGACCCTCTACAAGGCAGAAGTTGCTGCTCTTTCTATTTTATGGATAAGGGAGCTAGTGACACAGGAGTCGGCGTGGCTCTGAAGCCATGCTAAGTCACACCTCATTTTCGGAGCATCTTTTGCAAGAGCCGGCGTCCCCTCTGAACAGCAGGTGGAACTGTCACAACACCTGACATTTTCTAGGACGAACTGTCTTCCAAGGAACCAAGAAACCGCCCACACCGAACCAAACCATTGTGATCGCACTGGAGTCGACTCGCGGCGACCCTGTGTGTTACACAGCGGAACTGACTTGCACGGCATTTTCTTGGCTGTAATCCTTAGGGAAGGCGAATGCCAGGCCTCTCTTCCACTGTGCCACTGGGGGGAAGGTCAGACTGCTTGTGCCACACAGGCACCTTTGGAAACCTCAAGGACGCTAAGTATTAGCATCCTTTTGAACTCGATTATCTGGGTCTACACATTAACGTGATGTAGAATGCTGTCGTGCTTTAGAAAAGCGCAGTGTGGTACCCTTAAAGTAACGACAACACATGCCTAGTTTGGAACCCACTATAACAGCAAGAGCTGCAGGCTGCTTCCGCTCAGCCCGTGCCCTCCCCCCACGCCCCCCTCCCCGCCCCCAGGCCCCTAGCTAGCTGCCCACTCTGTCGTCAGTCCGCGGGCGAGCGGTGGTGGGAGAGCAGGAGCACAGCTCCTAGCACCACAGATCCCAGGAGATGTCAGTGCCCCACCACGACAGGCTGAGAACCACCTGGGTCGGTTCAAAGGCACCTTCTGAAAGAAGATGTCTAGTTTCTAGGAAAAGTACCTAACTCCCTTCTTGGCACCTCCTTGTCTTGCGTGGCTTTCACAACAGATAGAAAATAGAGAACACAGCTGTGCTCTAAGTGTTCATTCTCTCTGTCCTATGAATCGGCAGACACATTTTATTTTTTAAGTTTTAATGGTATATCATTCACATGCCATACACTTCAATGGTTTAACTATATTTAAAAGACTTGTGCAATCTCTACCATAATCAATTTTAGAACACTTTCTTCTTTCTTGTCCTCATTATGATTAGCTCCCATGACCCCCAGCCTCCCTTGTCATAACCCGAGGAAACTGTTAATATAGTCATTGTCTCTGTGGATTACATATCCTGGATTTCATATGAAGAAAATCATACATGGTGTCTGGGTATTGGAAAGAATAGTATCTGGGGTATTAAAGGGTTGTTTTAAGAAAAGCCTTAAAACAAGCAGCCATCTAAGTGAGGTGTCGATCAAGTCCACACAGCAGCACACCAGCCAGTGTGGTTCAAGGATTATAAATAATGAACTCTAAACCCAGGAGGGAACAGTATCAGAGCTTAACTTCTGAACACCCAGTTTGCAGAAAGCTATGGATGACCGTGAAAGCTCAAAATCCATTTGCAGGGTCCCACGTGGATTAAGCCTCTGGAGAACCCTCTCTGACCATAGTCAAGGGGTGTGAGTAGCCTTTCTATCAGTAGGGAGCATGGTAAAAGTCGGTTACTACAGATGTAGTAAGGTGGGTTAAAATGGAAGACCTCATCATTTTATGTACCTTTTTATTCACTTTAAATTTGTTCCCATTTTTAATATTTTCTAGTTTTTTAAAATTCAAGTTTTGTTTTTCTTTGGTCATTTTTGTTGGTTTTCATGGTATATAATTTGATGTTATGAAACTTTTGTTTCTTTTTTAATCTTGTATGTTTTTCTGTATATGAAACCCAGGATAGGTAGATTTACAGAGACAGTAATTGGATTAATAATTACCTAGGGGCATGGCAGGGAAGGTTGGGGATAATTAGGGAGCTAACAACAGTGACTACAAGAAAGAAGAAAATGTTCTAGGATTCAGATGTGGTAATGACTGCATAACTCTTGTGAATACAGTTCAACTATTGTATGACATGTGAATCATACGCCAATAAAACTATTTAAAAAAGAAAGAAAACCATACAAAAACCCTCCACAATGACAACAAAGAAAAACCGCAATCCTCCCAAGAAGAAGGTAATATAGAAACTAGAACAAAATCATAATGGGTCAAAAGAGGAAACAAATGGTAGCATGTTACATTTTAACCTAACTGCATTTGCGGCGATCCACTTTCCAATGTACTCTGTCTGAGGTACAAAAGACATCCCCAGTGGTCTGAAGGAGCTCAGTGAACAGCTGATGGGGTGGGGGGGGGGCTCTGCAAATGGATTTGGGGCTTTCACCGTCATTTAGTCTTCTTGCAGACAACATTTTAATTTCCCACAATCGCCTACAATAAGGTCCAGCCACAAAGATGTTCCTGATTCCCCAAGTTATCACCACCCCCCAACTGCCGGCAAGTGGCACACATCTGATAAACCAAAGATTATCCCATAAGATGCTGACACATCAGGGGGGCTTGTGTATCCCTTCCTGTGTTTCCCTGCCTTTACAATGGGATTCACAACGAAACCACCGATGGCCCTGCGGACCTCCAGAGCCAGGCGCGAGATTCTTTCGCGTGTTATTTAATAAAGGGTAATCATAAAGAAATCACCTGCTTATCTCGTACAGTCGGACATCATGAAGCCTGGCGACACCCTAACTTTCCTCTTGACTCTAGCCAGTGGGTACTGTGGGGCCCCAACTTCCCGCTCCGACCCATCTG